GCATCTGTTTATGTACACTACTTTGCCTATTTTTAACCACTTAACACATTTCTTCAGAAGAAAAAAAGATTTAAAAATATAAATTGCAGACTGTGATGCAGAAGTGAACATCTCAGAGAACAAAGAGCAACTAGACAACATTTCATACACAAAAAACCCATGAAAATTCAAGTTTTCTTATCAACACCCCTCCACTCCCACAAGAACATATGGCCCCTCTGTTTGTGCAAATAAGCAACTATTGCTTAAAGTAGATGTTTCTATTAACACTGTGCCTAATTAGAGAAAACAAACGGGTGTATGTATGATTTCCATTAGCTGCTTTTCTCATCAAGCTTTTGTCTTTATTCTGGTTCATCATAGTAGGAGAGTCATTTTGCTGTATACAAATGGACATTAATAGGCAGAGAAAAATTGATTGGATACATCTAGCATTTGCATTCACAATTTGTATTTGGTCCTCCCAGGCATACAATCCAGTCTGTTCTTGAAGATCTTTCTTCTCTGTCCAAGTGGGTGAACTGAAAGCAATTATACCACAGGCCAACATGTTCTCCTACACATGGCTTGGCAACAGTATGACGCAACATTGCTAAGGACTTCAAGCATTTGGCATCCCCAAAGACTTCTATTTTTTTCTTTCCATAGTAACGGTCATAGGGAGAATCCAAAATTTCAGCTGCATTGATTTAGGTAGCTATCAACTGTTCCAGAAACTTCCATCTCCCACCAGAATAAATCTTTTGCAAGGTTAATGTCTCTTCACTGTCCATCAATGTTTTGTTACAATGAGTGATAGCTCACAAGTGAATATTGTTTCTTAGAAAATCAGTTTTCTCTTTAATTCAAATTAGGGCTCTTCCAGGTAGCCAAGAAGACCAGTAAATATGAAGTTATTGTGTGCTTGGGTTGCATCCCTGTTAGTAGTTTCTCCCTTTCCCACATCCAGAACTGGTGCTTTGTGCCCTATTTGAATTGTGGTGATTGGGTAGTGTGGGTGAGATTTCCTTCCCTATCTTCATATATGCAATAAATAACCAGTGGGGTGCACAAGCAATGAAGCAATGAACACAACAGATCCTATTACTTTGTGAGCATTCTTTTGGGTTTCAAAAGCCCCAGCTGCTATCAAAAAACTCACAGATAATAAATTGGACCTAGACATATGTCATTTGGAAATTCCAAAAAAAAAACAACCAAACAAACAATTAACAAAAACAGCAACTGATCTATACAGATACAACTAGTCCAGATGATTTCTCAGAGAGAATGGTCAGCATACTCAGAATGGTAGATGATGCTACCATCTCTGCTATCCAAAAGGTCCAGGCATTGCAATCCTTTGCACTCTGGCTCCACTTAGTCCAGCAGCTGTGGTGGCTAAGGAATTCTGCAAGTTGTAATCCAAGGTGGAAGTCTAATTGTACAACCCATTGATTCTGTGAGCTGTGATTTAGTTGAGAGAAATAATTAAATTGCAGTCCCTAAGAGCTACCCTATATACATGTGTATAAATCTGGAAATGTTGGTCAAAAATTAACTAAAAAAAACCCCTGGGTCAACTTATCCACAGATCAGTGTGAGTAATGTACTCTAAATTATAAAAAGGGAGCCATGCCCTTCTCTGAGAAGAGTGGCAAAAGATAAGAACATTAGTCATCCTAAGAAGCACCTACTCCTTCTACTCTCTCCACCATGACACTGTTTCTGGCCTTTTTGAACAGCTGGGTGGGGAAAATAATGATGGCAGTGGCCCGAGACATCTGGCTCCCAATGGGACACTGGTTACCTTTGACTTATTCACAGGTCATAACAAAATCCTTAATTTTGACCCCAAAACCTGCCCAAGACTTATACATGAGGTCAATTTATATATGATACTCGAAACACTTAGACTGGAAAATATGGTTGGGTGACATACAAGTATTCAATTCTATTGTATTATTGAGCCATACAAAAATAGGTTTAACAACCATCTTAAGAAGGGTCTGTAAACATACTTTAAACAGAGAAGTACAGTTAAGGGTAAATAGCCATGTGAAGAAAATGATGATGCTGATTATAATAATAATACATTTCCAATAGTGCTGTACAAAAATCTTTGAGCCTTGGATGAGAGGTTCCAAAACTACTTGCAAGCAACTGTGGCCAGCAGAACCTGAATAGGACTTATTTTATTTTTAAAATGAGATTTCAAACACAGTCTTTGAAAGATGATAGTTTTTCTTGTAAAGCACACAAAACACAGAGCAAAGAATTACCTTTGTCACCTTCTCCTATCATCCTATGGAAGATGGAAGGAAAAAAACATGATGCTAACTCTGAGTTGGATAGATGATCTATATTTACAGGTCAGTGGTATGGTGAAATGGGAAATACATTTCGGTGCCCATTTGGATACACCATATTTCCTATTTTAAGGTCATTTTCCTTAATCAGAAGCAACTATTGGAGCTTTTGCATTTCGTTGCCATGGCTCAATATCATGGAATCCCGTGAT